GCTTATGGGTTCATAAAGTTTCAAGCAAAAAGAGTGTGCCCTTAATCAACATTGAGTGAAAGAATTAGTGACAAAATCAACAAAAAACCATTTAAATCATATGAAGATATAAATCTATAGATACAAAAGGTATTGGCACAGAACTCTGCCAGTCAGAAATGAATATGTACTACTTAATCAGATGACACCTGTTGCTAGGATACACTGCATACCATTCATAATGGTTTGTATTTAAGATCATCTGTGTTGTTCACAACATGGTTCTATACCAGGATTACTGAGTCAGGGACTGTTATTCATTTTCTAAATTACAATCATACTGTACAGATTCGAATCTGCATAAGAATTCCACAGTTTGGAAGTATGCTAATATGCCTCAACCACAAAAAAGATAAGAAAGAAACATTAGATTTACTCCTAAAACACACCCTTCTCCCAAAGCATTTATTTTTTCACAGAAAACATCTGATTTTTAATTTGCTGTGGATTTACACCAGAAGGCATTTGGAAGTCAGTCTACAGAGGCTTATTAAATCCTTCAATGACTGACATCAGTTACTGTGTGACTCTAGGGTTTGTCAATTATATAATGCATGCATGACCATTCCAATGATATATTGTAAAATCAGATTGGGCACTGTGGTATAAAATTAACTTTAATTTATAAAAGTAAATTTTATGAGCATGTTAAAGAAAAAAATATATAATATTGACAGCATCCCCCTTTTTGATTGAAACAATCTATTTTCAGCTTGTGGTATAGTACAGTACATAATCTTTACTAGCTGACATTACTTGCTTCAGTGCAATACAGAAAATGTTCCTTGTCCAGTTTCCTTGTAAAAATGTCTGGAGTCTAACATGTAGATACACATTTATTTAATATTACAACTCCATGCATCTAAAATGTCAGTGAGACCCATTTTGTGCATTTTATGGAGGTTGGAAATAGAGAGGAAAATGTGTCATGTGGTTATACAGCTAGAAAATACAACACTAATAAGGGCTTTGGGAGATAAGAAATCTGCTGCAAGCACCAGCCAGTGTTGGTACAATAAGCCAGCATAGGACTTGGAGTCCATAATTGCTCCAACAAAAGCTGGCATGAACAGCTAAGTAGTGCAATTTAAAGCATTTCCCAAAAAAGCATTCTGTGTCAACTGGTTAAAACAAGCAGGAAAATGTGTTGTATGGTGTGTTCCTGCATTTCAAACAAAGCTTGATAAAAAGTGGCAGTGGTATAAAAAATCTCCTGGGTTCTTTTCAAGACTCTAAAACAGGAAGTGAGTCCTACATTAATCCTCAGAAAATCACAGTCCATCTCCATTATCACAAGCTTTTGACAAATCTTAACCAATGGCTCAGATCTACTAAGAAAGGTCATTTGCAGTGCAAACAATGACATTCGCACCCGTGTTGTAACAGTCTCCAAAGTGAGCATGATATGTACTAAAGAAATATTGTTACTGATAAGACACACAATATAGTGATTTAAGTATCTCATATAAATATCTTAGTGAGTGATACTTTTCCAAATGGATAACTGTAGATGGCTTGATGTTAGTATGACGTATGTAGCTTATTGTACTACACTAAGTACTAAGTTAACTAAGTACTAACTTTGTGTGCTATGGAACTGAAACAAAAATCTGGTCCCAGTCTGTTTCACCAGAACATCAATCTGGCGATATTGGCAAAAAAATGACTCTGTTTTCCTGATGAGTAGCTGGTGATTCGATGTCTCTACTCTGATCTGTTCCCAGACATGGTTCTTAATTCTTGTACAGGCTAGGAGTGAGTTGGGTGTTTTAGGCAGCACCTGTATACAATCTATTGTCCTGAACATATTGAGGAAACTAGAAATGCCAAAGAAATGTGTTTTCAAAGCTTTTAATTCAAACTTTCAATAGAAAATAGGAATTTTGAGCAATCATATCAATAAACCACTAAGCAGAAATGATAATGTAGTAGAAAAAGCAAACTGAAAGATATCACAGTCTCTTGATGAACATGCAAGGTGGATACCAGACTCACTACTGCAGGAATGGCAGTTTCTTTGGCTCCAGGTCATCCTTTAGGGCTCAGGACAATTCAACATGAATCTGTTTCAGTGCAGTTCATTGCTGAAATTTGTTCCAACCAGGACTGTAACTATTAAATTGGTAATCAATAGGATCAATGTAACAAAGGTGTTAGTTGAATTAAAATTCTTTAAGATCCTGTACCTGTTCCTTATTTAGTCCTCAATTAACTGTATGAGAGTTGCTAGAATATGAATATGGTATTTAAAGAATGCTGTTGAAGTCATAGTTTTAAGAGCTCTTAACATATTGACACAATTGTAAGGGAATCAAGGACAGTGGCTTAAGTCAATCTCATTTAATAATTTGAAAACTCGAATTTATACATTTTGGCAACTTCTTTTGGCAAGGCACAGATTTAATTGTTCAACAACTTCACATTTATCACTGCACTTAGTATGTCTGACACTTCTAATTTTACAACATTCTCAATGCCTTGTCACTTTTGGTCTGCATCTAGGATCTAGGAGATTTCATTCAGCAGTCTCATAAAGTTCTTGTCATGTTGCGTACCAGCACATTTTGTTAGATCTGGGGCACAAGTTAGAGATCAGAATTCATTTAAAAGTGTACCTTAAGATGCAGAACATCGATTGAGTGTTAGCATCAATAAATCAGTAAATCTGATTATGTGTTGTACATTTCTGGCTTCTCATATAACAATTGGTTTAGAATGTTTGTGCCCAACACTTTTTTGTAATCATCTGTAGTGGTTTAATGCACACACCACACACATTTTCAAGGGAGCATAGCTGACCTGCATATCAGAGAATTTAGTCCAGTTAGTCCAGTTTCCCTGGTCCTCTGAAAGAAAGTAGTAGCCACCAACCAAATCACCTCACCAAGGGCAGAGGACTGGGCAATATCAATGCTGCTGAAGGGAAAGTCGAGATCAAGTTAAGATGCCCGATCTCAGCATCCTTTTCTGAGGAGCTGTAGGGATAGCATATCTCCTGCTCTCATTGACAAAACAGCTTATTGGTTTTGAATTGGTTGCAAAGTGATTTTGAAAGAATTTGAAGGCTAATCTCTGAGGAATGCTGGGTTACAGAGATTAACTAACTTTCCAAACCTGAACAGAGAGTAGTTCTTCTATTAACAAAGGTTAAAATAAAATGCTGGTGGTGGGAGGGGCAGGAATGGCAAACCTGAACCTGCAACCCAAACTAATGAAGATTTATATAGAGCTGTTTTTCTGCCTTCAGTAGAGAGACATCAAGTGCAGACAATTCTAAAGACAGGACGACTGCTGGCTTCCAGTTGGACTCACAAACTCATTAAGAAAGAGAGATACTGACAGCTCAGTCATTAACCCTTGTGAATACATGAATGAGAAGTGCTAGTCCTATATTCCCATAGGAGAGGCTGGCAATGGTACAGTATCTGTTCAGTGTTTTACCCTGGGGGCATCAATAACCCATCGGTTGGTGACTAGTCACTAAAATGCAAAAGGATGCCACTTCTATCATATATTTTATTCATAGGCTGTGCTGATGAATATGTATTTCATATTTCAGTGTATTTTCTCTGGTGTGTTCAAATTGAGTTTTATAAAATGTACTCTTCTGTGTTGTTTTCCAAATTGTCAACAGTTTGTAGTGGTCTGTGAACTCAAAGAAATATGTTATATAAACAGCAAAGTAAAGGCCGTCCATTTTTTGCATTTATTTCGGATTAAAATAATTACTAAATTAAGATTAAGGAAAGTGATGTTCACTTTGTGGTGTCTTATTTTCTATTGCTTTTTATAAGAAAAGTATAGATTTAATCATTCAGAATGTTTTCCCTTAATTATTAACTAATAAGTATTCTGAGTTGGTAGCCTGAACAGTAAGAGGTTAAGTCTTCGCTGAAATCACACATGTGAAGAAGGCTCCACAGTTGAAAATTTGCAGAAATGTTTCTTTCATTTCAGCATGGAATTAATATCTATTTGTTCTTTAATAAAGTGTTGTCAGGAAAAGGCCAATGTTTTAGTTTCGGGAAAATTTACTGCATATTAGCTTTTAATTTTAATCAATAGTCAGAGCAGTCATGCAAGGGGAAGGCATATTTAAATCTATTTCATTATAGTTCAGCATTGTTTCTTCCTGCTGCAATCCTAATGGAGTACAAAACTACATTTTTAAAGGTTCTACATTAATAAATGAAAGTGATGCAGGTAGAAAAATCTTACATCTTTTAAAAAGCATATAAATCGTATATAAATATATCAGTCTATTGGGGTACTTCATGATGTTTGATTCCAAAACTGGGGCAAATTTAGGTGGCTAAAGATTACTATTCTGAAGTGTATCACTGTAAACCATTAAACATGTGGCTATTTACGCAGAACCCACCCTTAAAAATACATTCAGTAACTAAAAAGCTTCACTTCCATTTGATGAAAAATATTGAACAATTTAACAAGCTTTTGTTCCCCAGCTGTGTGTGTGTGATGCTACTTAAATTGTGATACTTCTTGAGATAGCTTAGTGCTCAGCCACACTGAGGGAATAAAGAAAAGAAAAGAGGTGGAAAGAGCAAGAGAATGAATGTCTGTTTTTTTGTGACAGTGTGCCCCTTTGAATATGTCTGTGCTTTATTAGTCTTTTCTGTACTTTCAATTCAGCAATGAAGGAGAGTAGAGAAATCCATTTAGATAGGGAGCAGCTGTGTTTAACAAGTAATGAAACAGCATCAAATACTTAAAACAATTCTGACTGCTTACCACTGGGAAGTAGATAAGCCGCAATAGCCTGCTTTGAAAAGGGCAGAGACGATGAGCGCTCGATTCATTTCCTTGATTCAGGCCCCAAGATAGAAAGCGAAACAGTGAAAATTAACCATCTGAAGCAGGCACGTTGATTGCTTCTCTTATCTGGTTCCGATCTCAACGTGCCCTGTCTCCTTTTTCTTGTTTCTCTTTGCTGTTTCTAGTAAAATTTGATGACTGCCAAGGGAACCAGAGAGTCGGGTTTGAAAGCAGTGACCCGAACTTCAGCGTACGGACAGATGGCTCAATCTATACAGAGCATGAGGTGGCCGGCCTGTCAGAGCCAGTCCAGTTCATGGTCACAGCCAAGAGACCACCTAACATGCAGATCTGGGAGACAACCGTCAAACTGGCTTTGGCTGGACAAACAACACCCTTTCCCTCTCTGGTGAAGGTATTTATTCAAATTCAATATATATTCTTGCTTTTTACCTAATTGCTTGAAATGCACCTATTTCAGTTTTCAAGGAAAATCAAGTTAAAATTGTATTAAAATGACTGAATTCCACTATTTTTAAAATATTTCATTGATTACTGTTTCAGTGATCTGACTATTGGGATTGAAGCCCAATGCATTATTCAATGTACAGTATATATAATGAAGACTAGGTGAATAATTGACATCAATTGAGATAATGCTACATCCTGGTGGTTGTAATTGAGTATATTTTTTCACCATTTACAGAGGGAAATTCTACAAAAGAAAAACATAAAAGATTTTTTTTACAGCCTTTCTTATTTCTTAAAGTGAAGTTATGTTAAAAATGTTATTAAAATATAGATACTGGGAAAAGTGGCCCATGTGAATATATGTGACAAAAACTCTGGGATCAGATATACTTTGGATAATGCTCAGGCACAATGCCATATAATTGTATTGTTGTCAATTGTACTGTACATTTATAGTATTCCAGTATTATAGTATTATAAAAGCAGTTTTTATCACAGTTCGTGGAGATAATTCCCTGAGTCACTATGTTGCAACCTCAGTAGTACATAACTATGTGAAAAAAACGTATTCTTACTCTGCAGCACTGGGATGCTTTACCTCCAGGCCTTCTTATTCTAAAACACATAAAGACCAGAGGCTCTTAATGGACAACATCAGTCTGCCATGCTGGTGCTTGAGCTGCGAGGACCCCTTGCAGCTGCTGAACAGCTGTCCAGTGTGAATGCCGGAATAATCTCTGTAATTCACTAACCCAGCCATGCTATTCCCAGTGGTGGCAATGTTTCCACTGCCATGAGAAACAGACAGCTTGGTTTGTCCTTCCCAATGGCACCATGGTGTTCAGACTCAAAGTGACCCTGTCATCAGGTTTTAAGAAGACAAACAGCATGGCTCTGAGATGAAGACCCTTAGGACACATTAAACAGACTTTCAAGAGCTCAGCCTATACCATGCAACTCCATTGTCCCAGTAAAAAAGTGATCATCTTAAGGCATGGATTAATAGCATATTTTTCCTCAATATAATTGAATGTCCCAGATGCCCTTATGTGGGATGTTTGATAAGTACGTTATACATTATAAATACATTATTATTAACTGAATTCATACCATAAAATAGACATAGAGTTGGGTTATGTGATGTTTTTGTCATCATAAAAGATAGTCATCATCCCCTGACAACAATCAATGCAAATAGATCAGAGCAGGGGATTATTCTTTATTCATTTTATTTATCAGCATTAGTTTCCAATTCAAATGACACTCTGATTGTTGATGGTAAGTGGCTCTAGTACATCTGACCACTGTAGGAGAGAATGAATGGATAGCCTCATTGCAGTGGATATGGATTTGAACTGCTCATCTCTTACAAAAGACATAACACAATTAATGAAGAAAGGGTCACACATAAATATGCTTCACTTCATTTGACTATTAAAATCTTTTAATCATTTTCTCCTTCATTAGTATAGTGGAATGCAATCAAAAGGATATGCTTAAAATATGTTTACAGCCCTTGGCTATTGTTATAAAAACCTATTATTTTCAAATGTTTTCTTCTTACATAGTACAGTGGTATATAAAGATAATTGAGCCCTACCTTAACAGTAATTAAAATACAGTTAAGAATAGCAATTGGTGTGATGAAATATAATGATTGCATTTTTCCAACCCCTCTGAACCAAGATGTGTTACAGAAGATAGCAGTAATTTGTAATACATCTTGTTCTTTCAGCACTTCACCTTTGCATGACTACTGATCGTAAAACATTTCTGAAATTCTCTACCCACTTAAGCAAAATTGAATGAGGCCAAGTATGTATTACAATTTGAAGAGAAGGGTATGAAAAAGTTATGAAAAAGAAAACAACTAATCTAAGGAATTGTAATTCACTAAAATAATAATGTTAATTTTTATTATTCTTGAGTGTGAGACTCTTTATCTACATACACACATTTAATAATATTTAAATACGTTAGAGAAGAATTACAGTCCTGCTTACAATCACTACCTCTCCAGAGCAACATTACCAGATTCACTGTTATTTGTGTCCGTGTTAACTGTGCCATTAGAACAGAATTGTCTCAGAGAAATGGCTTTTAATGAGTACAGTTTAAGGCAAAAAAGCCTGAGAAAAACATTCTGCAGAAAAGTAAGGGCTATTAAAAGCATGCCACAAGAGAAATAAATTGGCTTGTGCACAAACACTAAAATATATACATTAACTTTGAATGTGTGCTAACTCATAAATGAAATTGGGCTGCATAAATAATTTCTATTGAATCAGGTTTTAAAATAAAACCATGAATGTCAGTATTTGGATACCCAAAGACGCATTGTTCCGAAAGATTACACTAATAAAATGAGTCAAGAATGTAATTTACTTTAGGGCAGACATGAAATGCAAAAAAGAAAATTGAAAAAGCTTAGAGCTTTCAACACACCTTTCCACGACTGTTTAGAACTGTGTCTGCAATAATATTTCAGCACCGCAATTAGTGTTTTATAAAATTATGGTATCAATATTGGAGTATTATTTGGGATTAAATAGCCAGATCTATTTAGGTGGAATGTATTTATTAAAATGCTCTTCTCTGTTTTTAACGTGTTTTTAGATGAGCTCAGTTTTTAATACCTGCTATCTTAGTGAGTTTTAACTCCTACCACTCACTTATCCCAGATACTGTAATTCGTTTGCAGGTATGCTATGCAACTCTTCTCTGGGTTAATCAACAACCTGGCATCCCAGTGTTTAATGTGTAACACTGTGTCTCCCAAATCTCACTGAAAATTATTATCTCATTTAAGCAAGCTCAAGTGCAAGAAATAATTTTATCCGTACAGTACAGTACATCTGGGGAATATAGCAGGTGCTGTGTGCAAACCAGAAGGGAGTATTGTATAATGATAGAGCCTTGTGGGAGTTCTAAACACTGTTTTCTCCTTTGACTGATCTGTGAAAGGAATTTGTCATTATATTAAATCAAACCCACAGTAGTTAGGTATTTGTCTTTAACTCGGGTCATAGTCCACACATCAATTTTGGAAACTTTAGTTTGATAAAATCTTTGCAAAACCTCCTGGTCCTGTGCAGCTTTAGTACTGGTGTTATCATATTATGTCCGATACACCTCAGCGAGTCTTCCCAGTTCTTGTTCTCTCAGGGAATTCTGAGTAATTTCCTCCCTTGTTAGAGCAAAGACTCCTTCAATCCTGGTAAGTTACTGTGGTCCTCCACATGGGTAGACACTTCTTTATTCCATAGTATACAGGCCTAATTAGCCCCTCACAAGCCTTTTCTTCTTGTCAATTGCTAAGTGATCCAAACAGTTTGTCAGTTAGAGGGTACAATACCCTGATCTCCTTCCAAATGACTCCTTCTCCCAAGAGAATTTTTGTAACTTTTAAAATTGAAAAAATATGGTAAATCTCTACCATGGAGTGTGGGTGCCTGGGCACTACAGCCACATATTATACAGTATGTACAATGTTGAATTTGCACAGGTACTGTAGTTAAGACATCCCTAATATCTCCATGTCCAGAGGTATTGCCTAGTTTTGGGATACATAAAACTGCAATTTTAGTTATCAGCAATTTCTCTCACAGGATCAATAGAGTATATATCTATCTATAACTTTTGTGCTTTGTCAACACCTGCTATTATTTCTGATTTCAAGACATACCAGTTTACAGTTACCAAACACACTGGATTTGACTGAAAACATTACTATTACCTTTTATCGTGGTGGTGTTCCACTGCTACCATCGAAAGTGTTATATACTCCTTAAGTGTGGTGTAGGACTACCTATTCACATTAACCACCTGAACTACAGGGAATCTTGTAGCTGACTGTGAAACCAAGCCAACCCAGGACCAACACTGGCCCTCCCTACTATGATCTGTAACCAACTGTCTGATGCAGTTTTTCCTTTTCCTTAACCTTAACAGCATTCCTCCAGCCTGAACCATCAGCTGCAGTTGCTGTATCCACCAGAGAGCTCCTACCTCTTTTCCAGTGGAGCACTTGCTCCTTGGAGGTGGTAGATTAACCTTCTAACATATTTTCCTATCTTGTGGAATACACCATTTTGAAAATCTATTTTGTCTAACCCTGATTTGTCAGGAAAGCACCGAGCTTTATCAATGACTCTTTTTGATGCCAAGTGCTGCTCTAGTTTTCCAGCAATACACAATGATAATTCTTTTGACATTTCAAAATGACAACAGAAATACAGTAAATGTTTTCCAGAAAACATTATTCATTTAAGAGTTTTCGACAAAATTAAGAAAAGTAATGCTTCCCATGATATGGTTTCCTAAGAGATTTATTGTGTTCAGTTTGTCCTAATCCAGAAATTTGTTCATCATTTGAAAGGCATTCATTATGCTAACACCCCCTACATCACCATTAATGCAACCTCAGGGCTTATGGGGTCCTTTTGGCTTGTGTGTGTGCACCCTATGATGGACTGATTTTGCCATGTATCCCATGCGTTCTGAGATGGGTTGGGGTTGACATGACCTTTACTAGGAATAAACTGTTTCTGATAATGGATGGATGATTTTCCCAGTTATTCACTGATATTACAAAGTCAGGGTGTCTGTAAAAATTTTTTTTTCCTTAAAATGGTTTGTGTCTAAACTTGATAAAGTGGGAGTTACATCGCCGTTACAGAAAGTGCTATAATTTATTTACTTAAGCTATCATGCAGCACAGGTGGGAATCTAAAAATACCCTGAATTGATTTCACGCTGCTTTGATTTGCATTGCACTGGCAATGACGTTTTTATCATGCACTAGTGCTTTATATATTTGATTTTAAAGTGGAAAATGAAGTGGGCAACTTATTTTACCTAATTTATTTCCTTTTTAACCAGCAGTTTACCTTTTAAGGACATTATCATTGATGTTTTGCAACTAAAGCACAAAGCTTTGGCCTT